ACCAAGGACTGGCTACATCCCCATCTCTCTAAGTTGCTGAGGCTGGCCTCAAACTCATGATCCTCCTGCCTCAGCCTCCTGAAGTGAGTTTTTCATCAGTGGATGCAAACACACTCGTATACACACAGATAGGCCTGGCCCCGGGCTCACCCCCTCCTGGAGCTCTGACTCCTAAGCCCTGTCCTGCCTCAGGCCCTTTGCTTGTGCTGCCCCCTGCCCGAATGTTCTCCCTTTAGAAGCTCGGCCAGAAGTCCTTCGAGCCTCAGCTGGAGGCCACTGGCCCCATCTGGATGAGGTCCTCCCCCATGACTCTGGCTGATGCTCCTCCCACTAGACTGACCACTCTGTGAGGACCAGGACCCCGCTGGGTGCTCCCGGCTGGATGCCCAGGCTTAGCACAGCGCCTGGCGTGTGTGGGTGAGGGTTAGGACAGGGGACAGACGGACGTGAGTGGTGGGAGCAGGGGGCTGGGGGACCTCTCTTTTCTTTTAATATTTATTTTTAGGTGTAGATGGACACTGCACAACGCCTTTATTTTTCTGTGGTGCTGAGGATGGAACCCGGGTCCGGGCGCTAGGCGAGGGCTCTCCCGCTGAGCCACATCCCAGCCCAGGGACTTCCCTGCTGCTCGCTGAACAGGACATGCCACTGTCCCCAGGCAGCGCCTGCAGCAGACATGAGCCCCCAACGCTCAGATGTGGCTGATAAGAGGACACAGGTTGCCCTGAAGGGGCAGGGGACGTTGTGACCCTTACGCAAGGAACCAGGGAGACAGGGACAATTCCCTCTGACCCCGGCCAGAACAGATTCGGGTTGGAACTGGTCGGCGTGGGCCGCGGGGACCTAGAGCTGTCATGGCTGTGGGGACTTGGAAGTCTGATGTCCCCTGCTGCCTGTCAGAAGCCAAGAGGAGGACCTGGAAAGTCCCCTGGGAGCCCCGTCCTCCTCCTCTCTGACAGGACCCCTCTCCTGACAGTGTCCCTGTCCCCTTTCCCTCCCGTCTCATCGACTCGCACCTGAGCTCCTCCTGGAGAGTCAGGGTTGGAGGGCCTCCAGGCTGGCCCAGGTTCACGGCTGTGTGACGGTGGGAAGGGACGCGGGGCTGGGGTGAGGCCCGGGCTCCATCTGGGATACAGGGTCACTGAGGGTTGGGAGTCAGCCACTGGGTGGAGAGGAAGCCCTGGCCACAGGCGGGGGACACGAGTGTGTCTGCCTGACAGCCCAGCCAGGTCCCCGCCGGCTGCCCACATCAGCCACCAGGCCGCCCAGCCTCAGCGCCCAGGAGGGGGAACGCAGTGGGCAGCGCCTGGCAGCCGGCCGATGCCCAGGATGACGCTGCTGCTCTCCTGCGCCCCCCAGTGCGGGGTGGGGGTACGCAGCAGCCGCAGGTAGATGAGGCCACAAAGACCTCCTGGCGCCAGTGTGGGAGGCGGGTTCCTGCCGGGCGCTGGGTGGGGGGCTGGGCGGCCACGACAGCAGAACCCACCGCAGGGCCCTGCTGGCCGCTCTGTCGTCCTGGGCTCCAGGTGGCCCCGGTGCCCCCTGGGCCTGCAGGGCAGGGCTCCCAGGCAGAGGCGGCCCGGGCCTTGACCCCAGGGCCTCGTCCACTGGGAGGATCAGCCCCAGGGAGGAGGTCGGTGAAGAAGAGGGGGCAGGAGGCCCTCCCAGGTGCGCACCCACAGAGTCCTGCTGGGGGCGGGAAGGGGTCATCCAGGACGCCTGTGGCTGAGAGGGACCGGAGTGCCACTGACACTGTCACAGGAGAGGGTGTCTCCGAAGAAGAGGCCACGCAGATCCCGGAGGGAGGGGACCCGGACCCGGGGCCAGGGGGCTGGGCACCATGATGGGCAGGAGCGGTCAGGTACACACAGTGACCCAGGGGAGAGCCAGGGTAAAGCCCGGCACCCACGCCCCTTCTGAGCCTCTGTGAGGACCAGGACGCGGCCATGGGGGAGCGAGCGGTGCCTTTGGAGGTCCCCAGCTCTTCTGGGAAGACGTGGTGAGGGCTGGGGGGTGTGCGGAAGTGTCATGCAGGGACACCAAGTCCCCTCCAGAGCCTCGGGCTGACCTGGCCTCTCAGCAGGGACTGGACGTCCTCCTAGATCACGGCCTCTGAGAACATGACAGCTCTCTTTACGGCACCTGTCGTGGCGGCTAAGCCACAGTGCGCGGTGCTGGGGACATCTCCCAGGAACGGGGCAAGAGGCCAGCTACAGGCTCACCCCGGGAAGCCCGTGACTTCTCAGGTCAGAGCGCACGCCCTGTCCCCCCTGTGAGCCTCCTTCCGGCTCCTCTCTGTTCCCCCTCGTTCTTGGCGGTGGTTCGGCCAGGGGCAGACTTGTAGGTCAAGACCGTGACCCCTGACACCTTACCATGGCTCCCGGACTCTCTTCTCATTCCTCTTCCCACCAAAGCAGAGGGAAGGGACTGGCCAGCTCCCTCTCGGGGATGGACTGGGCGCCAGGTCTCTCTCTGGTTATTGTCCCCAGCCTCTGGCCCCGTGTCCCTCAGCTTTCTGTCACCATGACAAACCCGGAGATAACCATTCGGGGAGGTTTCAGTCCCTGACACCGTGGCCCGCTGCTCTGGGCCGGTGGCAGGCGCCACATCTGGGCAGGGCCGAAGAGCTCAGCTCGGGCCAGGAGGAGGAAGGAGGAGGCAGAGGCTGGAGTCCCACAGTACCTTCAAACAGTGCCCAGAGACCTCCCTCCAGGCTCACCTCACAGTTGTCACCAACCCCAACCCGCCACCCGGGGACGCACCTCCAACACACGGGTCTTTGGAGGACAGTCAAGATCCCAACCCTGCGCGTCCCCGGGCGGCTCCACCCGGGCCTCCACCTCTGCCTCCACCTCCCGCCGCGGAGCTGGCTCCACCTGGCACGATCCCAGGGAAGGCTTCTGATTGGCCCATCTCGGGTCACATGCCTCCACCTCCGAGCCAATCCAGGAGCTCGAAGGACAGGACCGCCCTGCAGCTGGTGACTCGCGCACGGAGCTGCTGCTCGGCTGGACGGGGCCGTGTCCTCACCTGCGAAGTAGGAGGCAACAGGAGGAGGAGACAGGGCCAGCACCAGCCGCAGCCTGTGGCAGGGGACGCGCAGGTGTCGGTCACGGTCTCGTCACTGCGGTCCCCGTCAGAGCTGCCTGTTTCCCTGGAGCACCCCGAGGGTGGGTGCCGCCCGCGGTGCAGGCCAGGTGTGTGGTCTGGTCCCGGTCACCGCGCCCCTCCCAGGGTCGACCGCTCCACAGCCGCCGGGAGCCCCGGCAAGGGTCTGAGTCCGTCCAGGGCTTCTCAGCCTCCACCTTGTGGTGACCATGTGGACAGATGCCCCTTGCGGGTGGACCACTGTCCGGGCCTGGCCTCTGCGCTGTGGGACGGGCAGCAGTGCCCCTGGCCGCTACCCGCCAAGTGCCAGTAGCATCCAAGACCCAGATACCAGACCTATCAAAATGTCTAGTGTCTTCTGGGGACAAAGTCACCCTGGGCTGGGCGGCAGCAGCCTCGTTACACCCTCATCACAGGCGGGAAACAGGCCTGGAGGGATCAGCAGTTGCCGGGCTGGGGATCTAGCTGGGCTGGTGAAGCGCTTGCCTCGCATGCACAAGGCCCTGTGCTGGCACCAACCAAGGTCTCCCCGGTTATCTGAATCCTGGCGACCATCCCGTGACACAGGTCTTACCACCTTCCTTTAAGACCTGCAGAATCTAAAGCTCAGAGAGGTGAAGTGACTGGCCCTAGACCACACAGCAAGCAGGGGGACAAGCACCCCAGACTCTGGGCCCACGAAAGCCCTCTGTTAACTGAGGTTGACAGGGGTCAGCTGCAGACCTCTGTGAGTTTGTGCTGGGATCGGCCTGGCTCCTGCTGTCCCCACAGTCTGTCAGGCCTCCTGCCTGACGGCCATCCTTGGCACATGTCATTCCGAGTCTCAGTGAGCAGACGGGCTGGGCAAATGTGACCGGCTGTCGTAATGGAACCATCAGCCATCCTGGCTGGGCACTGCCTGGTTCATCACCCACGGCTCCCGGTGGGAAGTGGAGGCCCAGAGATGGCCAGCACCTTGCTCCAGGCTGCACAGGGAGAGGGGGCGGAGCTGGCACAAGGTACCTGAGCCCTTTGCCTGTGGGATTTTTTTTTTTTTTTTTTTTTTAGGTCCTGGGGATTGAGGCTTGAAGCCAGGGGCACTTCACCACTGAGCCACATCCACAGCCCTTTTTGTTCTTTATTTTGACACAGAGTCTCACTAAATTGCTGAAGCTGGCCTCTAACTTGCCATCCTCCTGCCTCAGCCTCCCGAATCTCTGGGATCACAGGCCTGTGCCACCTTATCTCTAGATTGATATGACCATCCCCAGGTCAAGTTTAGGACATTCCATGGCCTCTAAAACCCCGAGGCTCATGAGCAGGACGCCGGCTGCTCGTCCCCCAGCTCCGGGCACCTTTAACTGCCTCTCTCTGCAGGTTTGCCCTCAGGGGTTCCTCGCAGGAGGAGGTCACGGCAACTGTCCCTTGTGCCTGGCTCCTTTCACTCAGTGCCATGTCTCCGGGTGCCCCCGCTGCCCCCCATTCCTGACCAGGAGCTGGGGGGCTGTGAAGGCTGCTGCCACCCCTTCAGACAGCCTGTGCTCTCCAGGGTCCCCGGGGCCTATGACCCTCCGGCTGGGTAGAGTGATCCACTGTCGGGTTGTCCCAGGCTGTACCCGTTTTAAAACTGAGAGTCATCTATGCAGGGCACCACCCGCCCATCACCACCGGCCCAAGCACCCGAGGCTCCAGAGCTCCCCCATGGAGGGCACCGACCTCTGAGTGCACCTGCTGAGCTCCGTTGGGTTTCCAACCGTCTCTCTCTGTGCCCACCTTCTCCAGAGCTATTATCTCCTGGGTCCTCCAGAAGATGAGAGGCGAGAGTCTGAGTAGTCCACCCAGCAGCTCACCCACCCTGCTTCCCTGATGGAGGCCTGGCTGCTCTTCCCAGCATCTTCTATGAGGTACTGGGAGAAGGGATGTGGCTTGGTGAGGTTTTTCTTTTTTTTTTGGAACTGGGGATTTAATCCAGGGGTGCTTTACCACTGAGCCAAATCCCAGCCCTTTTTGTTTTTATTTTTTGATTTTGAGACAGGGTCTCAGTAAATTGTTTAGGGCCTTGCTAAATTGATGAGGCTGGCCTCCAATTTTCAATCCTCCTGCCTCAGCCGCAAAGCCACCGGGATTACACACGTGCCCCACTGCACTCCACTTGGTGAGGTTTTAATGTCTTCCCAGGTTAAAATAAAAAGTTAATCATCTCCTAAGCACCCTCCCTTTTTTAAACAAATTTTTACTTTGGTAATAGATTCAAGTTCACAGAGAAACTGGGACAGTAGTAGAAGGTTCCCACACACCGTCCCCCAACTTCCCCTATGACGCCGTCTCCCATGAGCTGGGTGCCTTAGCACAATTAATGAACCAACACGGTAACCTGGGGACAGAAAGCCACGCCGCGGGGTGTGCCACTTGGCATGCTGCACACTCTGCACCGAAGGACACCAGAGGACCTCGGTGGCCCAGTCTCTCTGGCCTCCACCCTGTCCTTCTGTCTCCTGCACCCACAAGGTGGGACAGAGAAACAGACCCCTCCCCAAAGCCGGCCTCGGGGACCCCCCTCCAACCTTCCCAACCTGCAGAGGAGCTGCCAGAGAGGGCGCCCCACCCCCTGTGTGCCAGGAGAGGATCAGACCCTGGGCCCGGGGCCTGCGCCAAGCCCAGGAGGAGGAGGCCCACAGGGAGGCCCGGGAGCCGCTGAGCAGTCACCAAATCTGAGCATTAAAATGGCGGCTGCCTCCGCGTCTTTGGTTCTAGATTTTGGAAGCCCCCTCTGTCACCTGGGGTTCTGATTCCGTGAATCTGCTCTGCTTGTCTCCTCGACTGTCCTGGGATGAAGTGTCACCTGGACCTTTCCGCCACTGCCCTCCGTGATCACCAACTCGAGAAGCTCCCCTCCCTCTGCTCTAAGACCCCACCTAGAGACTGGGTCTCCATCTGGATTCCTCTTGTGTTTTGCTTTGTTCTTTATTTTTTGCAGTCCCGCGGATGGAACCCAGGGGCGCTCGCCTCTGGGCCACATCCCCCGCCCTTTTCATTCTATTCTGAGACGGGGTCTGGCTGGGCAGTCCAGGCTGGCCTCGAACTTGAGACCCTGCCGCCTCAGCCTCCTGTGTGCCACGCGCCCGGCCTGGCTTGTTCTCCTAGTGACCAGGGTAATGGTTTGGAGAGGACCTGAGAGGCAGAGAGTTCTTCCCATGGCCACGGCACGTCACGTGGAGGCCACAGACCTCAAGGTGTTCCAGGTGACTCATGACTGTTCCAGTTGACCTTGACCATCCGGCTGAGCCAGGTGAGTCATTGGAACTCTGCTCAGGATATCTGCAATCACACAAACAACCAAGCAAAAGTGTCACCAGCCCTACATTCTGGCTGCCACGTGTGACCTGCCAGAGGAGAGGGCCCCCTGTGTGCCAGGCCTGGTGGCACTTTGCCTTCACACAGGAGGCCGCTCCCTGGAGGGAGGCTCAGCCCTCTGGGGGGGGGGTGAATCTCAGAGAGGCCACGTGGGGACCCGTCCATCCGGGAGCAGCGGAGGCTCCAGCGCCTGCCTCCCCTCCCCCACCCCGCCCCCAGCTGTGCCCCCCAAAGCTGCTGCTGCCCCAGCCACCAGCACCATCGTGCCCCGGGGACACCACCAGGCCGTGGGGAGCACCTCACAGGCACCCACGGCTGCCCCCAGAACCTCCAGGTCTCAGACGGTCAGGAGGCCACCTGCGCCCAGCCCTACGCCCTCTGCCCAGGGCCCGGCGGGCTCAGCACCAGAGGCCTGCGGAGGGCACTCTGGGATGGGCTCGGCGTCGCCTGTGCCGTGAGGCCGAGCGGTGTCTGCGGGTCGGAGGGGGAGACAGGAAGACGCTCTTTACACGGGTGGCCTGCAGCCCGGTAATGACACGGAACCAAGAGCAACAGCAAAAGTGACAGGCGACAGAGAAGGAAGGAAATACAGCACCGGGTCGCAGACGCGCCAGCGCCTGAAGTCCCGCAGCCGGGGTGTCCCGACTGGGAAGTCCCAGCGGCCGCTCTCCACGGGTGACACTCTGAAGTCCTAGTCCCAGAGGGCCCCTTCCACACACGTTGGAACAAAGGAAGCTCCCTGACCTAGCGACCCCCTCAAGGACACACTTCACGTCCCCAAGACTGGCCAGATCCCCCCAGGGAGGGAGTGACGGCCCTTGGGATGGTGAGTGACTGTCGTTGCCCTGAGTGGGCCTCACCCCTGGGGAGGCAGGGCCGAGGTCAGGCAGCGCGGGGCCAGGCGGACCTGCAGGACCCCTCAGCCTCTGTCACCCCGCCTGGGGAGGGGGCGGGGAGGGGCTGACATCTGGGACCTGCTCTGAGGGCACTCTGGGGCCAACCTGGAGCCTTAAGCCGCGTGGCAGGCCTCTGCCACCCGCCACGTTCCCAGCCCTCTGGCCTCCAAGGCAGTCCCTCTCCAGGGTGCTGGGCCCCACAGACCACAGAACTCGGGTTCCCTGCAGAAGCCCTGGACAGGGCGGGGAGGGTCCTGAGACGCTCCAGCCCCCTTCTCGCCACCAGACCTGGAGCCCTCTGTACCACCGGGACCGGCTCAGCGAGCCCAGGCGGCCCAGCGCCCAGCCCTGCGACAGCAGCGCCCCCTGCCGGCCGCGGGCCTCTGGACGCCCTCTCAGCGCCTCCCTCGCTCTCTGCCTCCCCCTGCAGGCCATCTCGGGAAGGGCGGCTCGCAGTGGGTCCCGATGGTCAGAGCCAGGCCCTGGGCTCAGGTGGACCTGGGTTCCATTCTCAGCCCCACCACTTACTCAGGGAGCCTCAAGTGTCTACAGAAATCCTCAAACTTTAGTTCAAAGCTTGTCATTTGTAAAATGCACGTGAATTTTTAAAAAATATACTTTTGGTGGAGACGTAAAACCCTTGCTGGGGAGCGCCGCCTGGCACGTGCCGGCCCTGGGTCCCATCCTCAGCCTCATAAAACTAAATAAGTAGAATAAAGGTATGTGTCCAGCTGCAACTAAAAAATAAAATATAGATTTATTTATAAAAACTTGCTGAAAAGAATAAGAGTGCACCTCTGAAGTACATAGGGCCATGAATCACCACAAAGACCCCATGAAATTCCCAGGGAAATAACGGAAAGTCCCACGGTGCTCCCCGAGTAGCTATTCTAGTCCTACCCCCACACATAGCCAGATCCCTAGATTCTGACACCCTTGTTCTCTCCTCCCAGAGGTCACTAACAAGGGCCCAAATGCACAGTCCTGGCACTTATCAAAGCCTGGCCAGGACTTGTCTCATTTCCTCTCCTCCTCTCTCTCCTCTGCCCCTTAAGAAGCCCCTTGCCAGATGTGGTGCTGCACGTCTGTCATCCCAGAGACTCGGGAGGCTGAGGCAGGAGGATGCAGTTCAAGGCCAGCCTCAGCAACTTAGCAAGGCCCTAAGCAACTTAGTGAGATCTGTCTCAAGACACAAAATTAAAAAGGGTTGGGCTGTGGCTCAGTGGTTAAGGGCCCCAGGGTTCAGTCCCCAAGGGGAAGCTCCTCAGGCCCCAGGGTCAGGCCTTCGCATGTCCACTCCCCTCTCCTTCCCCTCTTGTTACTTTCAGGGGGCAGCAGGGACAATCACACGTGGTCAGGCAGGCCACCCCCAGGGGGCTCCAGGGGAGGCACTTCCTTTCCCATTTCCCGCTTCTGCGGTGGCTGAGGTGCTCCTGGCTGGGCCACCGCGCGCCCGTCTCTGCCTCCTTCTTCACGTGGCCTTCCCTGGGGGTCTGTCCTTTGCCTTCCCGTGGCGTCCGTTTCTCTTCTTACAATGTCGGGGCTTGGGACACAGCGCCCCTCCTTCAGCACTCTGTTATGGAGCTCAGTGTAGCTGCCCCCGGGAACATCTCTGCGCTGGAGAGGGACGGGGGAGAGGGACGGGGAGGACGTGGGCTGCCGTTCCAGAGCTCTCCGAGTGGCTCGGTCACACTGCAAGGTGCCCAGCTCACGCAGACCCCGACGCAGCACTGGCCTCTGGGATCCAGGGACAGTTAGTAGGCAAGCACTCAGGTGGGCCTGCCACCTGGCGCCGTGGCCCGGGGGGGGGTGAGGCCCATGGGGCCCCAGTCCAACCTCTGTGGCTGGCCGACAAGGAAACCAAGGGTCAGGGAGGGCCTGAGGTCTGCTGTGGCCCCAGAGCTCTTGAGCCCCAGGGCGGGGCCCTGTGTGTTCCCAGAGGGTTGGGGGTGGTGGCTGCTTTCTCACACTCACACACACCCAGCCCCGCCCAGGCCCTGGCCCTCCCTGACCTAATCGACCTGACCGCGCTTCCTCACCACTTGGTAAGACCATTTCCCGCTGGGGATCAGGAGGATGGAGTCAGGATTTCCACCCGATGTGGTCACGGTAACAAGTGACCTCAGATCAGGGGCTTCAGACAGCACTCACTCATCCCTGTGCGGTCCTTGAGATGAGACGTCCACTCGGGGTCTAGCAGCACCCTGTGGGCAGGCCTGCTTCTGTCTGGAATTCCCGCGAACCCGTCCCAGCCTCCCCCACCCTCGAGCGGCCGCCGTCCTTGGTGGCTGCGTGGCTTCGTCATGTCCCCTCTGTCTTACCTGCGGCGCTGCCCCAGCCTCCCCGGGGCCTCACCCGCTGGGCCCCCCTAGGCTCTCAGGCCACCTGGATACCCGGGGACCCCTCAGTCAGGTCCCTGACGGTATCAGCGAGTCTCTTGCCAGGGAGAACAACACTTGCAGGTCCAGGGAAGAGGCTTGGTGTGGGGGGGCCATGATTCAGCCAGAGCACCCCCATCCCTGGCCTGCACCCCGCCGCCCTTAGAGGACTCCTGGGGACTTGACCAAGGGGAGGGGCGGCCCCATCAAGCTGATGAGCACATTGGAGCTCCAGAGGGACACCTCCGAGGTCCCTGGCAAGGGGCAGCAACAGACCGTCACCCAAACCGAGGAGGCCTGCCTGGCCCCAGACCCCCCCCCCCTACACCGCCAAGACTGTGCTCTTCTCTTCTTCTCCAGATGCTGGGGCTGGCCCAGGGCCATGCACAGGCCAGGCCGACGCTCTACCACTGAGCTGCATCCCCAGCCCTTTTTAAAATTTTGTTGTGAGACAAAGTCTCACTATGTTGCTGAGCCTGGCCTCCGAGTTTCCATCCTCCTGTCTTGGCCTCCTAAGTCTCTGGGATCACAGGTGGGCACCACTATACAGAACCGACTGTGATGTTCTTGAGGACAACGAGGCCAACATTTATTGAGTGCCAGTGGATGCCAGGTTCCTTTTCCAGTATGATCTGGTCTGAGCCGCACGTCAGCCCTTATGAGTCTCATTTCCAGATAAACAGAACCAGTAGGTTTTTTATGGGAACTGGCTCACAATGACGGAAGCTGAGAAGTCACAAGGTCTGCAGTCTGCAAGACGGAGACGGGGAAAGCAGGGGTGCGATTCAGGCAGAGCCGGGGCCTGAGAGCCAGGAGGGGGAGGAGGCCCCGTGTGAGTCCTGGAGCCCGGTGTCCAGGGGCAGCAGAAGGCCAGCTTCCCCTTGTACCCGTCCCCTTTGGATTGGAGGGGCCCACCACGTGGGGGAGGGCAGAGCCTCTTGGCTCAGCTTGACGGAGAGGCTCTTCTCTTCCAGACACCCCCTCGTGGCACACACAGGTGACCTCTCACTCGCTCTCTGGGCGTCCCTGACCAGCCGAGTCGACCCACGGTCAGCATCACTGGCCCGAGGAGGTTGGTAGAAAACCCAGACGAGGAAACTGAGGCCCACAGAAGCAAAAGCCACTCGCCATGTCACACAGCCCGGCCTCTGGGTGCCTCAGGTAAACGTTCAGAGGCCGTTTAGGTCGCCCTGCGTTGCCCTTGTAACAGGACGTGAGGAAGGACGATCAGGACACACCATGTCCAAGGTGGCCCAGCGGGGAGGTCACGGCAGGGACCCCAGGCCTGCTCTCCGTCTTCACCAGCCCCCGGCTCCCTGTGCGGACCCGGCCCAGGCGAAGGGGCTCCCTCAGGCTGAGCGCTGGCCTTGGCCTTCCCGCGTCCCCAGACCCTCCTGCCCGAGGTCGGGCTCCCCGGGCCCACACATCAGCACCTGCCGGCTTCATCCCAAGCAGCCTCTCCCTCCCAGCCCGACCCCCACTCACCACTGTGGCCCTGGGGACCCACGGGGCCCAGCTGCAGCCGTCAGACCCGGGGCTGCGTGGCCTGTTCCCTGGGGCACCCTTTGAGTTCCTGGGCCTTCTGGCACCTTTGGCTATTTTACAACACCTCAACTTGGAGGGAACTGGTTGTAAATCCAAAGAGGCTCGTCCAGAAAAAGGCCGATGAAGGCATCTGTGGAGATGCGGTCGATTGCAGCTGTTTCTGCCTCATTTCAGTCCTCCCGATGGCCGTGTTTCCAAGTGTCTTTGACTTGGCAGCGACATCTTGTTAGTTTCCTCACCAGTTAATGAGTCAAAAATCTTTGACACACCAGGCGTGGTGGTGCACGCCTGCATCCCAGCAGCTCAGGAGGCCGAGGCCGGAGGATCATGAGTTCAAAGCCAGCCTCAGCAAAAAGCAAGGTGCTAACCAACTCGGCGAGACCCTGTCTCTAAATAAAGTACCAAAACGTAGAGCTGGGGATGCGGCTCAGGGGTCAACTGCCCCGAGTTCTATCCCCGGAAACTCCCCCAAAGTCTTTGACATGTTCATCTTATACGTGCACGGATCATAGACTCACCTTTTCACAAATGATCTTCAGCAGCACCCATTTGACTGCTGTCTTGGGGGTGCCACGCCTGCCCACCCTTTAACCCTGCTGACCTGTCCAGCCGGCCCTGACAGTGGCAGGATTCTGAGCTCACTTTCCCCCGTCCCCTGACCCCACTTAACAGACAGAAACGGCACACTCAGGATGTGGAGCCCAGTGGTCTGGCTCCTGTGCCCGGGGGTTCCCCGACTATCCACAAGCAAATGGATTTTGTGGGCACCCCTCAACCTGGCTCCCGCACAAAGAAGTCCTCTTGGGCAGAGTCTTCACATGGAGCGATTCTCCAACAACACGGTGAGCTGGGCACTCGAGGCGCCCCGGGCGGGAGTGCGGAGCGCACTGTGGTGCCTGGGGACGGACACCCCTAGCCGTCCCCTGAGACATGCCCCGGCAGTGTGGGTCCGGCCACCCCGCTGCTGCAGCGCACAGCAGGCAGGAACCAGGCCTCCCGGGAGGAGCAGGGAGACTATTCTCAGCTGGGGACAGCTCTCCCGAGAGCCCACTCTGCACGAGGACGGGGACGGGGCGGGCACCACAGGCGGCCTCCCGCAGCTCCTCGCCACAGTAGGCAGAAGGCAGCTTCTGCCTCATCCCGACCGCACAGAAGAGGCTGAGGCTCAGAGAGGTGGTGCCACTTGTCCCAGGTCACAGGACAGAGCTAGAATGTGAACCCAGGTCAGTGTCTCAAGTCTGAACCAGATTTGGGCTTCCCCGGGTCTGCAGGAGGTGACCCCCCAGCCAGGGCTCAGAGAGGCTCACAGTCAGTCAGCAGGCTGGACACTGGTACCCACGTCCTGCCTGGGAAATGCAGGCAGTCTCCTCCTGGGAAGGTGGACGCGGGTGCCAGACCAGCCCACCCTTATCTCCGGGAACAGTAGGGAGTCACCCTGTCTTTCTCATCAGTGGGAGCTGGATTCTCTCTCAGCCTTAGTTTCTCTAATCCTGAACCCTGCTCCCTCCGCCGCGCACAAAAGCCAGGTCACCAAACTATGTGGCACAGGATCAAAAAAGACAGCCGGGGCTGGGGGTGCAGACCAGAGGTGGGATCCTTGCCTGGCGCACACGAGAGAGGAGTGGGGGAGCCCCGCCTGCTCCTGCCGCACAGCAGGCCCACCCAGGTAAGAGGACTGGGGACGAGACCGCCCTGCCCTGCCCCTGCGTCCCCAGACTCCCCCAGCGGCAGAGACTGATGGTCCCCAGCGTCCGCTCCCACCTTCCTCCGTAGTGACAGAACCTCCGCTGCGGGCGAGCGTGCCCCTCAGAGTCCAGATGACATTTC